GAGATGGGGTGGGTGGGCGGGGTTTATATTTTTGCTTTTTTTCTTAATATACTTAGTATTCTTTGAACAACACGATATTCAAAAACATATTTTTAATTTCTTCTAAAGAAATAAGTATTTTGCAGTTAAGCTCCGCCCCCTTGGTTCACGGCGAATAAAAAAATCATCACAATTGAGATCGGGCGGGTGGGCGGGCTTACATTTTGTCTTTTTGTTTTAATATGTGTGGACTTCTTTTCACAACATGAAACTTAAAACATATTTAAAATTGAAAACTTATATAAGGAAATATCGATTTTGCAATTAGATTCCGCTCCATAGATGCAAAATCCATATTTTCTTGCAAAAACTATTTTAACCATGTTTTAAGTTTCTTGTTATGAAAATATGGCTATGTATGTTAAGAAAAAAGGGCCAATATAAGCCCCACCCACCCACCCACTCGCAATTGTGATGATTTTTTTTTATTCGTCGTGAGCCAGGAGGGGGAGCTTAGTTGCAAAATTCTCATTTCTCTACAAGAAATTACCTTGTGAAATATGTTTTTAAAACGGTAAATTTTACTCTTTTAAGAACTTATTTCACAGAATTTTGGCACTAAGCTCCGCCCCTCAGCTTACGATGAATAAAAAATTCATCACAATTGAGAGAGGGTGGGTGGGCGGGGTTTATATTTTGCCCTTTATTTCTTAATATACGTAGACTTCTTCTCACAAGAAACTTTAAACATGTTCAAAACGATAAATTTCTGTGAGAAAATATGAATGAAAAATTCATCGTAACTGAGATCGGTGCGGGTATAGGTGAGATTTAATCTTTGGTTTTCTTTTTTACTCAAAACGTATAGTTTCTTTAAAGAACACGGTTACTTAAGAACATGCCTCAAATAGCAATTTTTTGGAGAGAAATATGGATTTTGCAATTAAGCTCCGCCTCCCGGCTCACGACGAATTAAAAAAATCATCACAATTGAGATAAGGTGGGTGGGCGGGGCTTATATTTTGCTTCTTTTTTAACATACGAAGCCTTCTTCGATGAATGAACTACAGTTGAGAGACGTTAACACGATAATTAAACATGTTTTTAGTTTCTTGTAAAAAAAACTACGTATATTAAGAAAAAATGGACAAAAAATTGACAACTGTGAACTGAAACTTACAAAGTGGGGCCCTGTGGTATTGGCTTCATTTTTCCAAAAATTCCTACCACTTTTCCAGAATCACCAAAATGAAATCTGGCAATTTTCTGAATATTTAAACCAGATTTTGAAGCGGGATTTTTCGAAAAACTTAGCCCAAGACCATCAAGACGGTTTGTTTTTCACTCAAGTCATAGCAGTTTGTCTTCCAGAATTTTTTGTGGATTTGTGGACAAGTTCGTCAAAATCTCTTTTTTTGAGACTATCTTGTCTAACATTTTTTGGCTGAAAATTGTCATTTATAAACTCGTTGCCAAGTTGCCACTGATAGTAACTTTGTTGTTCAATTTTTGTCGCATTTAAAGGGGTTGTTGAAGAAAAGTGGAGGATTTAAGTTGATTACTACAAAAATTGACCATTTAAAACATGTTTTAAGTTTCTTGTAGTCGAAATAAGTCTACAGATATTAAGAAAAAAAGACAACATGTAGACCCGCCCACCCGCCCTATCTCAATTGTGATGATTTTTTTTATTCGACGTGAGCTACTGGGGTGGTACTTAACTGCAAAGTCCTTATTTCTTTCCGAGGAATTAAAAACATGTTCTTTTTAAGAAAAAAATAAAGCCAAAGATTAAGCTCCACCCATACCCGCCCCGATCTCAATTCTCAGTTGTGATGAATTTTTCATTCGTTGTCAGATCGAGAGGCGGGGTTTAATTGCAAGATCCATATTTGTCTACAAGAATTTACCATTTTAAACATGTTTTGAGTTTCTAAGGATAAAAAAAAACATCACAATTGAGAAGGGGTGGGTGGGCGGGGTTTATATCTTGCCTTTTTTTTCTTAATATACCTAGGATTCTTTGAATAACACGATACTCCCGAGATTATGTATTAGAAGTTCAGCCAGAAGTCGGGCGAACGTAGAAAAAATACTACACGTAGTGCGTGCCAAAGTAATTTTTATACTTTGGTGGTTGTGAATCTCACTTGCGGATTGTTAGAATTCGTTGGAAAACAGTTTTTTTTTTTAATAATTGTGTGATACGGTTCTTTAATTTTCTATTGGAAAATAAAAAAAAACTGAAAATCATACAGAAGAAAAACGAACTAAAGAAAGTAAAAAAACAACAGATACTGCAGAACAACTAATCAAGTGTAATTGAAAATGAAGAACACGAAAAAAGTACATTTTTTTTTAATTCGGGAAACTCTTGGGTACCCATGAGTATTATTTCGGGAGCCTTTTGAAGATTTTTTTGTAAATTGTATATTCAAAACAATTTTGAGGGACTTAAAGGGTACCTTATTTGCCAAAATCAGTCTTATCTCAGCAGGTACTAGCCCCGCCCACCCGCCCTTTATTTTCTTAGAAGGATCTCTTTTGCCAAAGTCAGTCTTATCCTAGCAGGTACTAGCCCCACCCACCCACCCTCTCTTTTCTTAGAAGGTATGTCATTTGCCAAAATCAGTCTTATTCTAACTACTAGCTGCTAAGATAAAACTGATTTTGGCAAATGAGATACCTTCCAAAGAAAGAGAGGGCGGGTGGGCGGGGTTAGTACCTGCTAAGATAAGACTGATTTTGGCAAATGAGATATCCGCCAAGAAAAGAAACTTTTGCCGTATTTAAAGGGGTTGTTGAAGATAAGTGGAGGATTTAAGTTGATTAGTACAAAAATTGACTATTTTAGACATGTTTTAAGTTTCTTGTAATCGAAATAAGTCTACAGATATTAAGAAAAATAGACAAAATGTACCCCCGCCCACCCGCCCTATCTCAATTGTGATGATTTTTTTTATTCGACGTGAGCTGGGGGGGTGGCGCTTAACTGCAAAGTCCTTATTTCTCTCCGAGGTATTAAAAACATGTTTTTTTAAGAAAACAATAAAGCCAAAGATTAAGCTCCACCCATACCCGCCCCGATCTCAATTCTCAATTGTGATGAATTTTTCATTCGGTGTCAGATCGAGAGGCGGGGTTTACTTGCAAGATCCATATTTGTCTACAAGAATTTACCATTTTAAACGTGTTTTAAATTTCTAAGGGTAAAAAAAATCATCACAATTGAGATGTACATAGTATTCTTCGAACAACACGATATTCAAAAACATATTTTTAATTTCTTGTAAAGAAATAAGTATTTTACAGTTAAGCTCCGCCCCCTTGGTTCACGGCGAATAAAAAAATCATCACAATTGAGATCGGGCGGGTGGGCGGGCTTACATTTTGTCTTTTTGTTTTAATATGTGTAGACTTCTTTTTACAACATGAAACTTAAAACATGTTTAAAATGGAAAATTGGCATAAGGAAATTTCAATTTTGCAATTAGACCCCGCCCCATAGTTACAAAATCCATATTTCCTTGCAAAAACCATTTTAACCATGTTTTAAGTTTCTCGTAAGGAAGAGATGGCCGTGTATATTAAGAAAAAAGGGCCAAATATAAGCCCCGCCCACCCGCCCTATCTTAATTCTGATGATTCCTTTTTATTCGTCGTACGGCGAGGGGAAAACTAAACTAATATATGTATTAACTAAGAAAGAAAACCAAAAGAGAAGAATTATTTATGAAAGACATTGTACACACTGTCAGAGTTTGAATTATTTGTAAAAGAAACTAATGATGATCAGTAAATTTTGTAAAAATGACCAGAGAGAAAATATAATTGTCAAGGAGAACTGAGAAAATCAGTTGTTATATTATGAAAACAGGTTATTTGTACCTAAAAATTTAAGAAAATTAAAGTTAAATAGTTACATGAAACACATCTTGGCATCACCAAGACAAAACTAAATGCAAAAGTAACAGTATTTTGGCCAGGAATAATGAGTAACATAGGACACATGATTATGCCGTACATGATTTGTAACAGATTCAGTGTTAAATAACCATTTTTGAAGCATGAAACACCAGAATATCCATTTCAAAAAATTGGAATAGAGATATTACGATCAAAGTTACCAATTAAAAAAGAATTGTTTATTCAAAAGGAAACTGTGATAAAAATGCAGAAACTAATGTAACAGAATTTAAGGAAGAAGAAAATATACAGATTGTTCATTTTGTCTGTTCACGCCTGAAAATTTTTACATAGGCAACATATTATACACCCCAGAGAAGACTTCATCCAATTTAATTCTTTTTTTAATAAACAATCATAGCAATCACAAAAAAAATGACAAAGATGTCAATGCCAAATAATGACAATATTGAAAAAATTAATACTCAAGTTATTAATGGATCAGGTTGCAACGAAAATGAATTTACAATAAAGTTCAAAATGCCTGCCTCCACTATCTTCACAAACTTCTGTCCTACGTTCAAAATTTCTACGAACTCTATCTAACACGTCGGGAGTTATAGATCTGCATGACGCTATTATCCTTGCAGAAATATTGAGGCGTGAAGAGATAAAATGAACACTCTGTATATACAGTTGCCGCCAAAAAATTTCAGACGTCAATGTCATTCAATATTTGACAGTCATTTTTAACTTTTACATTTGACACTTACATGAATGTAGCTGTAGCGTAAGCTGGAATTTTTGACATTCCAGCTGTCCGAAATAATGACAATAAAGCATAGACTACATTAAAATTTTTTGTCGGAAACTGTATATTGGGGATTTTTCTAAAAAGATATGGACAAAAAGAAACATATTAAATAAACCGAAATTTCCAAGATCTTATTTAGTAAAAAATAATAATATGTATGTTACACAAAGTGAAAGAGTTGTAGAAACCAGAAGAGAAAGACAGAAGTCACACGAGTTATTCGTTTCTTGTCGCAACGTAGCCGCACCGCAACGTAACCATCAAACACCTGCTCCTTTACCTTCCGCGTCCTGTGCGAGCGCCTTTACCTTGGCCGTCACCCTCAAGTAAACAGAAATAACGAAAGCAACAGTTGCGGTTCAGGGAGTTCTAGTTCGACAAATAACTTGTATGTTTTTAAATTTATCATAAACATTTAGGTTGTTCTAATCTCAGTTTATCGTTCCTTAAGTGGCGTTTCGAGAGCTGTGCGGAAAGCCAAGACTGCCACTCAACGCAGCCGGATCCCCGTGTATATTTATTTTTACACAACTTAAGTAATTATCTTTGCAATAGTGTAATAAGACGCTCATTACACTAATATTTCCGCTCGTTCAATGCCCCTGAACATAAACGGAATCGTGTGGGAGCTGGCCATTTAAACTTTAAATGTTAAAACCGTTTGCAGATTTTTATTGAGGAGTAGCACCACGTTGTAAGCATCAAAACAATTTTAACTTTGCTGTTTTATAACTAATACTGCATTAGTAGATAGATTTAATGTAGGTTATGTATGGGTTATGTTGTGTCGACACAGCCTCCTTGACTGACCGCGTTTGTTGTTGCAGTGATGAGACGGAAAAAATGCCGCCCCCAAAAACCCTGTACGACCAAATGGACAGCATAGGCCAAGGTTTGTACCTACCCCACGTCAACCAAACACTAACACAGTCCCCCAGGTGCTTACGGCGTGGTCTACAAGGGCAAGCACAAAACCACCGGTAAAATCGTAGCCTTGAAAAAAATCTGCGTGCCGCTAACCGAGGATGGAGTCCCCATGAACACCCTCAGAGAAATCGGGGTTCTAAAACAGCTCAACTCCCACAACCACCCCAACATCGTCCAGCTCCTTGATGTGTGCCACGGGGTGCAAACCGAGCGCGAATTGTTGATGTATCTGGTGTTCGAACACGTAGACCAGGATCTAGCTCTATACATACAGAAACGCGGGGAGTTTTCGTCGCTGCAAGTGCGAAATATGAGCCACGAGATTCTCAAGGGCGTGGATTTCCTCCACAGTAATCGAATAGTGCACCGAGACCTCAAACCCCAGAATTTGTTAGTCACGAACGACGGTCACATCAAAATCGCTGATTTTGGGTTAGCGAAAACGTACGATTTCGAGATGAGGCTCACGTCGGTTGTCGTGACTTTGTGGTACAGGGCACCGGAGGTGCTCCTGGGGGTGCCATACGCCACTCCTGTGGACGTTTGGTCCATCGGGTGCATAGTGGCTGAGCTCTTCCGGCTAAGACCTTTATTCTGTGGGAGCTCTGAGAGTGACCAATTGAGCAAAATCTTGAGGTATTCTTGTGTTGTTGTAATTGATGAAAGTTATTTGTTGTTTTGTAGAATTTTGGGTAAGCCGCCACGACACGAGTGGCCAGAGAATAATGTGGCCATTAGTTGGGACTCATTTGACAACACTGACAGAGTTGATCTTAAGGAGATCATACCGAATTTGGACGAGAATGCGCACGATTTGCTCACAGTAAGTGTGTTAGGGTGTGATAAAGCTTTATTTATGGGCAATTTTTTACAGAAAATGCTGGCGTTCGATCCCGCACAACGAATCAGCACGTTGGAGGCGCTGAATCATGTTTATTTTACTGAAGAGCCCATTTAGGGGTTTAAAGTTTGACGAGTGATTTTTTTATGAAAGACGTATTTTGCATTCCACAGTTTTATTTTTGTAGTGTGGTTTTTATTCATCCTTGAGGGTACATATCAAGCTTGCGTTTTTTCAGGATGTAAAATTATGAACGTATTTTAAGAGTAGTTTAAGTAAGGGACAACACAGTTAAGAAAAATAAAGTTTTTTTTATTACAAGTGTTGTTTTCATAGCGTTTCTGTATTTGCTGTTGTGTGTAGACCACCCATTGTGCGTGTGTGTATAGTTGGTTGCATAATCAAGTCAGGCTAAGTTAAATTCACACGTGCCAAACATTTCTTTTATTACTAAGGCTTGGATAACATGCAAAATGCATATTTGACTATTTATTCCATATTTTAACGTTTTACCGACCATTTCTAGTACATAAATAATTATTTGTTGTCAAATAACACTGTGAGATGAATAAAATCATGTCAAAATTTAATGATCGTTCATCTGCAGCAATCAAGGAAGCTAAAAAGATTTTAAAGAGTCCTAAATTACGTCAGAACCTAAGTTTAATTAATAACAACACTTAATCTATTAAGAAAAAAAGGCAAAATATAAACCCCACCCACCCACCCGTCCTCAATTGTGATGATTTTTTTATTCTTAGAAACCTAACACACGTTTAAAATGGTAAATTTTTGTAAAAACTGTCGATTTTGCAATTAGACTCCGCCCCTAAGTCTGCCAACGAATGAAAACTTCATTACTAGTTACATCAGGGCAGGTGTGGGTGGGGCTTAATCTTTGGCTTTAATTTTTTCTTAATTTACATTTATTCTTTGAAAAACACGATGCTTAAAAAATGTCTTACGTGGTAATTTCTTCTAGAGGAATAATAAGATTTTTGTATTTAAATTCCGCTCCTTTGGCTCTCGACGGTTAAAAAAAAATCATCACAATTGAGATAGGGCGGGTGGGTGGGGCTTACATTTTGCCTTGTTTTCTTAATATGTGTAGTCATCTTTTCATAACAAGAAACTTAAAGCATGTTTAAAATGGTAAATTTGTATGGGAAAATATAATTTTGCAATTACGCTCCGCCCCTCGGTTTGAGAACGAATCAAAAATTCATCACGGTTAAGACTGAGACGGATGGGTGGGGCTTCCTTCTCTTTTGGTTTTCTTTTTTAATTAATACATTTAGTTTTCTTTGTATAACACGATTACTTACTTAAGAAGATATTTCATCTGGTAATTTCTTGTAGAAAAATAAGGATTTTACTATTAAGTTCCGCCCCTCGGTTTACGACGAATCAAAAAGGGTCCTCAGAACTGAGATAGGGCGGGTGGGCGGGGCTTATATCTATCATTATTTTTTTTTGAGCCACCTCTTAAGCAAATCTAAAAAAACTGAATGGAATGATAAATCACAAGTACAACCTCATCATATTTTTTGCATTTTAGATAGGATTTATTCAGCAAAATTTAGGGGTGACGTCATCAATTTTTTTAGGGGGGGATGAACAAATACACTTTGAACAAAAGTTTACCATGCTTATGATAACTTTAAAATATCTCCAAGATATCAAAGCATTCGGTTTTGTAATTCCTGATTAAATCGATAAAATAAATTCACGCATTCATTAATTTTTTTGAGTCACCCTGTATATGCAAATCCAAAAATATGAATGGAATGATAAATCCCAAGTACAGACTCATCATATTTTGTACATTTTAGATAGGATTTATTCAGCAAAATTTTGGGGTGACGTCATCAATTTTTTAGGGGGGATGAACAAATACATTTTGATAAAAAATTTACCATGCTTATAATAACTTTAAAACATCTCCAAGGTTTCAAAGCATTCGGTTCTGTAATTTCTGATTAAACCAATAAAATAAATTCATGCATTCATTAATTTTTTTGAGTCAGCCTTTATATGCATAAAAATCCGGGACGGCAGACAGACGGACAGACGGACAAACGGACAAACAGACGGAAATGGGAGACCTATTTCTTCGTCTTCTAGGGGTCATGAAAGATCGAGAAAACGTAAAAGTAGAGAGTCGGCCGACGGACTCGATTACAATACTTCCTTTGCTTACGCTCGGGAAGTAAAAACAATAAAAACGGCTATAAAAAACCGATAGCAAAAACACACAAAAACGACCAAAAAGGGCGAGAAAAAAGACAAAAAAAAACGATTCCAAAGAATCGAACAAAAAAGCGACAATCCTTAAGTAAATGTGACAGAGAAAGACCGACAAAAACGGACAACAAAGGCACAAGAAAAGTAGCCAAAAAGCGAGCAAAAAATACAACAAAAAAGACAACAAAAAACGGTAACAAGAAATAGGAAAAAATAGGAACACTGAAAAATTAAAAAAAATGCACAATGAAGCATCTAAAAATTTAAGAATTTTAGAAATAGAAATAGAAAAATTGAAAACCTTGGAAATTAAAAATTCGGAAAGGAAAAACCACAAGATTGCAAACCAGCAAAAAATAAAATAACTAAAAATTAAAAAATTGTTCAAAAATCGGAAAAAAACGAACTAAAACCGAAAAATTATAACAAGGAAACATCGAAAAGTTTAAGACTTTGGGAAATAGAAAATAGAAAAATTGACAAATTGTAAAAAAAATAGAGAAAAAAAAACGCAAAATTCAAGGAAACATTAAAATGTCTAAAAAATTGAAAAATTGAAGAATGGAAAATCGAAAATTTGAGGAACTGAAAAATTAAATAATGGAAAAATTGAAAAGTTGAGACACCGACAAAATTAATAATCAAAAATGAAAAACTTAAAAATTTTAAAACTGCAAGATTGAAAAAGTAAAAAATTTAACAATCTAACACATTTCTAAAAAATCGTAAAATTGAGGAAACGAAAACTTGAAACATCAAAACTTAAAAATCAAACTACTAAAAATCGGAATACTAAACATAAAAATTAATTTATTTTGTTTAGTTTGATTTATGTAATGAAAACTTTCGTAAATAAATGGTTATTATTTAAAAATCTAAAAATTTAAATCGAGAAACTGAAACATTAAAAATCGAAGAACTAAAAGTTGAAAAATTCCAAAATTCCAAACGACGAAAAATTAAAAAATACTTCAAAAATCGGAAAAAATAGGAACATTGAAAAATAAAACTGCAAAACTTAGAAATTAAAAAATCCGAAAGGAAAATCAGAAAGAAAAAACCCTAAGATTGCAAACCACCAAACAAATAAAATCACTAATTACTGATCACTGATCACTGATCGTGATTTCGTGATTTCGTGATTCGCTCTGGAAGTAAAAATCTAGAAAATCCAGAAACTCGTTAAATTCGAAAAAAATGCAAAGAATCCAATGAGTTCAAAGAATCCAAAGAATCGAAAGGCTCCAAAAGATCCAAAGGATCCAAAGAATTCAAGAAATCCAGAAAATACATACATCCAAAAAATTGAGCAAATCCAGAAAATCTAAATAATCCGAAAAATTCTAAAATATTAAAAAATAAAATAAAAAATCCAAAGAATCCGAAGAATCTAATGAGTCCAAGGAATCCAAAGAATCCAAAGGATCAAAAAGGTCCAACGGATGCAAAGAATCAAAAGGAATCAAAGAACTCAGGAATTACAAAAAATTCAAGGAATCCAAAAAATCCAAAAAGTGCATAAAATCAAAAAATTCCAACCGATTCGAAAAAAAATCGAAGAATCTAAGTGGTCCAAGGAATCCAAAGAGTCCAAAAAATCCAAAGGATTCAAAGAATCCGAAAAATCCAAAGGATCCAAAGAATCCAGAAAATCCAAAGAGTTCAGGGAATCCAAAAAATCCAAAGAATTGAAAGAAGCCAGAAAATCGAAAAAATTCAGAAAATCCAAATAATCCGAAAAATTCTAAAAAATTAAAAAATCCAACGAATCCGAATAATCTAAGGAGTCCAACGAATCGAAAGAATCCAAAGGATCCCAAGAATCTAAAAAATCCAAAGGATCCAAACACTCTACAAAATACAAAGAGTCCAAAGGATCCAAAGAATTAAAAGAATTGAAAGAATCGAGAAAATACAACAAATTAAAAAAATCCAAAGAATCCAAAAATCAAAAAGTCCAGAAAATCCAAAGCATCCAAAGAATCTAAAGAGTCCATACAATCCAAAGAATCCAAAAGATTCAAAGAATTCAAAAAAATTCATATTGTCTAAAAATTCCAAAAAGTTTAGAACACCCAAAAATTCCAAAAAAATTTGAAAAAAATCAAAAAAATTCCAAGAATCCAAAGAGTCCAAAGAACCCAAGGTGTCCAAAGAATCCAAAGAATCCACAGAATCCAAAAAATCCAAAGAATCCAAAAAATTCATACAGTCCAAAAATTCCAAAAAGTTTAGAATATACAAAAATTCCAAAAAAATTGAAAAGAATCTGAAAAATCCAAAGGATCCAAATAATCCAAAAATCTAGAAAATCCAGAAACTCGTTAAATTCTAAAAAATCGAAAAAATCCAAAGAATCCAAAGCTCCAAAAGATCCACAGGATCCAAAGAATTCAAGGAATCCAGAAAATACATACATCCAAAAAATCCAGAAAATACAAATCATTGGAGAAATTCTAAAAAATTAAAAAATAAAATAAATAATCCAGAGAATCCGAAGAATCTAAGGAGTCCAAGGAATCCAAAGAATCCAAAGGATCAAAAAGGTCCAAAGGATGCAAAGAATCAAAAGGAATCAAAGAATCCAAAAAACACAAAAAAATTCAAGGAATCCAAAAATCCAAAAACAAAAAATTCCAACAGATGCGAAAAAAAAACGGGGAAAGAATCTCAAGAATCCAAAGAGTCCAAAGTATCCGAAAAATCCAAAGGATCCAAAGAATCCAGAAAATCCAAAGAGTTCAGGGAATCCGAAAAATCCAAAGAATTGAAAGAAGCCAGAAAATCGAAAAAATTCAGAAAATCCAAAAAATCCCAAAAATTCTAAAAAATTAAAAAATACAAAGAATCCGAATAATCCAAGGAGTCCAAGGAATCGAAAGAATCCAAAGGATCCCAAGAATCCAAAAAATTCAAAGGATCCAAACACTCCACAGAATCCAAAGAGTCCAAAGGATCCAAAGAATTAAAAGAATTCAAAGAATCGAGAAAATACAAAAATTTAAAAAATCCATAGAATCCAAAAATCAAAAAAGTCCAGAAAATCCAAAGCATCCAAAGAATCTAAAGAGTCCATACAATCCAAAGAATTCAAAAAAATTCATAGTGTCTAAAAATTCCAAAAAGTTTAGAATACCCAAAAATTCCAAAAAAATTTGAAAAAAATCGAAAAAATTCCAAGAATCCAAAGAGTCCAAAGAACCCAAAGTGTCCAAAGAATCCAAAGAATCCACAGAATCCAAAAAATCCAAAGAATCCAAAAAATTCATATAATCCAAAAATTCCAAAAAAGTTTAGAATATCCAAAACTTCAAAAAAAATTGAAAAGAATATAAAAAATTCAAAGAATCCAAAGAGTTCCAAGAATCCAAAAAATCCAAATGATCCAAATAATCCAAAAAAATCTAGAAAATCAAGAAACTCGTTAAATTCTAAAAATATCGAAAAAATCCAAATAAACCAAAGCTCCAAAAGATCCAAAGGATCCAAAGAATTCAAGGAATCCAGAAAATACATACATCCAAAAAATTCAGAAAATACAAATCATCGGAGAAATTCTAAAAAATTAAAAAATAAAATAAATAATCCAAAGAATCCAAAGAATCTAATGAGTCCAAAGAATCCAAAGGATCAAAAAGATCCAAAGGATGCAAAGAATCAAAAGGAATCAAAGAATCCAAAAAACACAAAAAAATTCAAGGAATCCAAAAATCCAAAAACCAAAAATTCCAACAGATGCGAAAAAAAAACGGGGAAATCGAAGAATCTAAAGGGTCCAAGGAATCCAAAGAATCTCAAGAATCCAAAGAATCCGAAAAATCCAAAGGATCCAAAGAATCCAGAAAATCCAAAGAGTTCAGGGAATCCAAAAAATCCAAAGAATTGAAAGAAGCCAAAAAATCGAAAAAATTCAGAAAATCCAAATAATCCGAAAAATTCTAAAAAATTTAAAAATCCAAAGAATCCGAATAAGCTAAGGAGTCCAAGGGATTGAAAGAATCCAAAGGATCCCAAGAATCCAAAAAATCCAAAGGATCCAAACACTCTACAGAATCCAAAGAGTCCAAAGGATCCAAAGAATTAAGAGAATTCAAAGAATCGAGAAAATACAAAAATTAAAAAAATCCAAAGAATCCGAAAATCAAAAAAGTCCAGAAAATCCAAAGCATCCAAAGAATCTAAAGAGTCCATACAATCCAAAGAGTCCAAAAGATTCAAAGAATTAAAAAAAATTCATATTGTCTAAAAATTCCAAAAAAAAATTGAAAAAAATCGAAAAAATTCCAATAATCCAAAGAGTCGAAAGAACCCCAAGTGTCCAAAGAATCCAAAGAATCCACAGAATCCAAAAAATCCAAAGAATTCAAAAAACTCATACCGTCCAAAAATTCCAAAAAGTTTAGAATATCCAAAAATTCCAAAAAAATTGAAAAGAATCTAAAAAATTCAAAGAATCCAAAGAATCTAAAAAATCTAGAAAATCCAGAAACTCGTTAAATTCTAAAAATATCGAAAAAAATCCAAAGAATCCAAAGATCCAAAGGATCCAAAGAATTCAAGGAATGCAGAAAATACATACATCCAAAAAATCCAGAAAATACAAATCATCCGAGAAATTCTAAAAAATTAAAAAATAAAATAAAAAATCCAACGAATCCGAAGAATCTAAGGAGTCTAAGGAATCCAAAGAATCAAAAGGAATCAAAGAATCCAAAAAACACAAAAAAATTCAAGGAATCCAAAAATCCAAAAAGTGCATAAAAACAAAAAATTCCAACAGATGCGAAAAGAAACCGGGGAAAACGAAGAATCTAAAGAGTCTTTGTCGAATAAAATTTTTTTTTATTACACGTGATGTTCCCTTTTGTAGTACTCCTATTTCGTATTTCCTGTGCGCGTTTGTATAGTTGGTTGCATACTCAATAAGTTAAAAATTGTACCTCAGAGAAATATATTGCAAGGACCGTTTTAAAAAAAGCACCAGAATAAAAACCATTAAAGTTTGAATAAATTGAGACAAGATTCTTATCAATTTTGATTTTTTTGGGTTAATTACGCTGAGTTTCCTTGAAAACTAACCAGTCCAGTGACGTATAGTTTTCATTATCAGTTCTCTAAACTTAAAGTATAACCTACGACATTATTTTCTTAACACTAAAACCACTTTTTTCTCACGTACTAATTACACCGGTTATTACCAATGACCTAAAATGAATCCTTTTACCGCACTTTTTGTTACGTTTAGCACCACAAAAAGCGGTTGTTTTCGAGATCAAAATTAATAAGTCATTACTATTATCATCACGAAACTGAAACTCACGATCTCGTGTTCCTGCTTCTAAACGATTTGTCCTTACCAAGAGGCACGGATTTCGCTGAAAGGAAAACTGTTTTAACAAGGATGTGTTAAAATTTCGCAAATCCAACAATTTTAATCAGTAAACAATGATTAAAAACTAGAACAGGTTATGGAGGCTTTGTGGTCGGCGAATTTTTCGATGATTACTGCGGTTTTGAGAAAGCAGCCCAAATTCAACCAAAAATAGACCAGTAAAAGTTAAACAAATTTATTTTTACAACTCTGTAATTACATAAATTAAGGTCGTTGTGAGATAAATAACATCCGCGTAAGATTACAATGAGTATATTAAAGCTAGTACAAAAATACAAAACTAACTTAAAATAAGTAAGTACATAAACGTACTCGTTGTAAGCCCACGCAAAACTCGATTTTCATTCTCAAATAGAAAGAAATAACAAATTCCGCGTTCACACGCAATTTCAGGGTCTCTGATAAGCCTTCCAACAATTAACCAACTACGCGAAAATTTACAAAATCGCTTCAGTGCTTGTTGTAGTTGTCCGACTCGCCCGACAAGAATTTCTTCACCCTTTCTTCATACTCTTTGTTGCTTTCGGCTTTCGGCAAACCGCCACTACTTTCGTTTTTGGATAAGAATTTCGCTAGTTTCCCGCTTTTCGGAAAATGGTCTAGAATGTCAGGCGGCACCACCCTGGCGATTTTATTACCCTTCCGGACCGTGCTCACTTCCACCCTCCCTTTGCCACTTTTCGACAGAATAATATCATCAGGGTAATTATTCTTCATCCCCTTGAAAGCTACATTAGTTGCCACTACCGACCAAACCACCCCTAACAGAGACGTTATGAAAATATTGGCTGTAAGTCCTAAACTAATGGGGGCTGTCTTATCCAGAAGAACTTCCCGAGTGTCCATTAAACTTAAAGTAATCAACAATAAAGAGATTGAAGATGTCACTGAAGCGAAACACGACGCCAGAAAGAACCAGGTGATGTTAGTGTCGATGTACCATTGCTTCCAGGCTAAGAGTCCTGCCAATCCCGCTAGAAATAGTCCTAGAGACATCACGAAGGACCCTGCAGACACCATAGCCGGGATGTTGAGGTGGTGCGCGGGTTTCCTCATGTACTGAAGATCTTCTTCCACTCGTCTCACCAGCCTCTGGTCTTCGAAAAACTCGCTGGAGTTGTACTCTTCTGCGAATGCGTCTTCCGTATGGTTACTGGCGAACCTGCGCACCACCAGCGTTCCCATCAACGACGACGTGATCCCCAGCGCTATAAACATGATGCTTAACCCCAACACAATAGAAGATGAGTATCTTCTTTCGGACGGATACAGGTCGCGGCTGTTGGGATTCGAACGGATTTTTATTTGGTAGATGTTTTCCATTGTGCTGGCTTTTTCAGGCTCTTATCACATTTTGTTGCTCTGAAACAAACGTTCTTTGTTAGTGTTGTCACGTGGCTGCGAAAAAATAATAACGCTAAGTGCTAAGTGGGAAGTTCTGTAATTTGAATAAATGTGAAACGGCGTTACGTAACAGAGCTGTAATTAAGTCATGGCGTGAAGCTATAATAGGAGGAAAGTCTTGTGATTCTTAACACTGTACTGTTATATCTTAGATTTGATTGGATTAAGTGCGGTTTAATTGTACGTTGCACAACGCACTGCTCTTCTTGTTGTGAAACGGCCTTTTCCGGGATTTGCGGAATTCGAACGGTGAATAATTTTGGTTATCTGGTCTGGGTGACTCGGCTTATCGTTTTCACGCCTTGTGTAAACAATAGACGGGTTTTTGGTGTATTGTAAGACGAACTTCGTACAGGAAACCGAAGATTATTATTTTTTTTTTCTAATAATAATAACAATAAAATAACAATAATCGCAAGGTGACAGCTGATCGCAAGGTGACAGCTGTATCGTTAAAACGCACTGTTTATCATGCACGTGACTCACAACAACAATAAAAAAAATAATCATAAACAATACTAAAACGTTCAAAATAAAATAGCGCAACGTGGTTTTCGTCGTATTAATTTTGATAACAACACGCCGTGCATAATGAAACCCACTTTACTGTTCGAGGACTGTTCTCATTTCCCTAAACTATCAAACCTCGTCAGTCGTCACTATCTACATTTTAAATGCGTATCGTGGTATCACACAATGACTACCTGTTTAATTTCATTGACCGATAATTAGCAAATTCGGCGGTTCGATAACCTTTAATTTTGATTGTAAACAGCGTCTGGTGAGCAAGTGAATTTCTAGGAAACACTAATCTCGCACAATTTTGTGCGAAATTGATCGAAAGTTGGTGTACTGTAAATAATTAAGTCTTGCATAAAAACGCTCAAAGAGAAATAAATTGGTTCAGGTTGGTTCGGGTTGTTAATTACTGTTCGGAATCGATTTTCTTTAACGAAACGTGATATTTTTATTTTTTTTTTGTATTGGTGAAGTGGATTTCAATGAGTTGGTTGATAAATAAATGCCACAAAGAAAAATTTTTAAATCGGGTGATTAAATCGTGCAATCGTGTCTTGTAATCACAAATCAGAAATATATGTGTGGAGAATGTCGGTGTTGTGGATGATGAATTCTAATGTTTAAATTGTCGGCGAGTCATAATGTTTGATGTCGTTAACGAAAAAGGTGAATGATAAAAGTCCGAGAATGCACACCCTGGGGAACCCCGATTGAATAATAATAAAATAATTGCTCCACATCCTATTTAAGTTTTCGTATTATTTGTGGCTTTCCTTTAAAAATAAAACACCAGGAGTACCAGAGATTCGTTCTTTTTTTTTTAATAAACATCAAGGGCTACTGGGATTCTAAAATTCTTTTGAAAATAGAATACTAGACGCCCTCGAATTTTTTTCAAGTGTTGTAAAAATAAAACTCAGGATTCCCAGAAATTCTTTCAAAAATAAAGTACTTAAGGGGTGGCAGAATTCTTAAATTCTTTGAAAAATAAAATACCAGGGGCCCTTGAGATTCAAAAACAAAATAGAATGAGCCCCCGAAATTCTTTCAAATTATTTCAAAAACAAATCACTTATGGGGTTCTGATATTCTTTTTTTTTTTCAACAATTAAATACCAGGAGGACCTGACATACTTAAATTAAAAAAACAATAAGAAAACACAAAGGGTCATCGACACATTCTTTCAAATTCTTAAAAATAAAACACCAGGGGTCCCTCAGATTCTTTAAAATTCTTTCAAAAATAAACACTGCAGGCCCCTGAGATTCTTAATTTTTTGAAAATTGAAACACCAAAAGTCCCCCAAGATTCTTTAGAAAAATAAAACACTAATAGAAGTCCCTGAGATTCTTAGATTCTTTTAAAAATAAAAGCATCAGGGGCCTCTGAGGTCCTTTTTTTAAATTAGAGTTCGCCAAAATTCTTTCAATAATAAAATTCAATAATAAAACACTTGGGATCCCCGAGATTCTTTAAAATGTTTTCAAAAATAAAGGTCGGAGTCCCCCTGAGATTCTTAATTTTTTTTTAAATTGAAACACCAAGGTCCCCCAAGATTTTTTAAATTCTCTCAAAAACAAACCACCACGGGCCCCAGGTCCTTTTTTTAATGAGTTTCCTAAAATTCTTTCAAAAATAAAACACTTGGGACCCCCGAGATTTTTGTAAATGTTTTCAAAAACCAAAGGCCGAAGTCCCTGGAGATTTTTAAATTCTTTTAAAATTGAAACACCAAAGGTCCCACAACATTCTTTAAGTTCTCTCGAAAATTAAACACTAGAAGTCCCTGAGATTCTTCAAAATTCTTTCAAAATTGAACCTGAGATTCTTAAATTTGAAAATTGAAACAGCAAAGCTCCCCCAAGATTCTTTAAAATGTTTTCAAAAATAGAACACTAGAAGCCCCGAGATTCTTTAAAATTCTCTCAAAAATAAACACTACAGGCCCATGAAATTCTTAAATTCTATGAAAATTGAGACACCAAAGGTTCCCCAAGATTCTTTAGAATGTTTTAAAAAATAAAACACTAGAAGCCCTTGAGATTCTTAAATTCTTTTAAAATGGCAACACCAAAGATTCGTTAAATTCTTTAAAAAATAAAGCACCAGAGCCTCTGAGGTACCCTTTTTTTAAATTAGAGTTCCCCAAAATTCTTTCAATAATAAAATACTTGGGACCCCTGAGATTCTTTAAAATGTTTTCAAAAATCAAAGACCAGAGTCCCCCTGAGATTCTTAAATTTTTTAAAAATTGAAACACCAAAGGTCCCACAAGATTTTTTAAATTCTCTCAAAAATAAATCAGCAGGAGCCTCAGGTCCTTTTTTAATGACTTTCCTAAAATTCTTTCAAAAATAAAACACTTGGGAACCCCGAGATTTTTTTAAAAGTTTTAAAAAATCAAAGGCCAGGGTCCCCAGATTTTTAATTTTTTTAAAAATTGAAACACCAAAGGTCCCACAAGATTCTTTAAGTTCTCTCAAAAATTAAACACTAGAGGTCTCTGAGATTGTTCAAAATTCTTTCAAAATTAAACCTAAGATTCTTAAATTTGAAAATTGATACAGCAAAGGTCCCCCAAGATTCTTTAAAATGTTTTCAAAAATAGAACACTAGAAGCCCCTGAGATTCTTTAAAATGATCTCAAAAATAAACACTACAGGCCCCTGAAATTCTTAAATTCTTAGAAAATTGAGACAACAAAGGTTCCCCAAGATTCTTTAAAATGTTTTCAAAAATAGAACACTAGAAACCCCTGAGATTCTTTAAAATTCTCCCAAAAACAAACACTACAGGCCCCTGAAATTCCTAAATTCTATGAAAATTGGGACACCAAAGGTCCCCAAAGATTCTTTAAAATATTTTCAAAAATAGAATAGTATATAGAAGCCCCTAAGATTCTTAAATTCTTTTACAATTGAACACCAGAAGACCCTGAGATTCTTTAAATTCTCTCAAAAATAAACACTACAGGCCCCTGAAATTCTTAAATTCTATGAAAATTGGGACACCAAAGGTTCCCCAAGATTCTTTAAAATGTTTTCAAAAATAGAACACTAGAAGCCCCAAAGATTCTTAAATTCTTTAAAAAATAAAGCACCAGAGGCCCCTGACATTCTTTAAAATTCTCTCAAAAATAAACACTGCAGGCCCCTGAAATTCTTAAATTCTATGAAAATTGAGACACCAAAGGTTCCCCAAGATTCTTTAAAATGTTGTCAAAAATAGAACACTAGAAGCCCCTGAGATTCTTTAAAATTCTCTCAAAAACAAACACTACAGGCCCCTGAGATTTCTAAATTCTATGAAAATTGGGACACCAAAGGTCCCCAAAGATTCTTTAAAATGTTTTCAAAAATAGAATAGTAGAAGCCCCTAAGATTCTTTAAAATTATCTCAAAAATAAACACTACAGGCCTCTGAAATTCTTAAATTCTATGAAAATTGAGACATCAAAGGTTCCCCAAGATTCTTTAAAATGTTTTCAAAAATAGAACACTAGAAACCCCTGAAATTCTTTAAAATTCTCTCAAAAACAAACACTACAGGCCCCTTAGATTCCTAAATTCTATGAAAATTGGGACACCAAACGTCCCCAAAGATTCTTTAAAATGTTTTCAAAAATAGAATAGTAGAGGCCCCTAAGATTCTTAAATTCTTTTACAATTGAACACCAGAAGCCCCTGAGATTCTTTAAAATTCTCTCAAAAATAAACACTACAGACCCCTGAAATTCTTAAATTCTATGAAAATTGAGGCAACAAAGGTTCCCCAAGATTCTTTAAAATGTTTTCAAAAATAGAACACTAGAAGTCCCTAAGATTCTCAAATTCTTTTACAATTGAACACCAGAGGTCCCCGAGATTCTCTAAAATTCTCTCAAAAATAAACACTACAGGCTCCTGAAATCCTTAAATTCTATGAAAATTGAGACACCAAAGGTTTCCCAAGATTCTTTAAAATGTTTTCAAAAATAGAATAGTAGAAACCCCTAAGATTCTTAAATTCTTTTACAATTGAACACCAGAAGCCCCTGAGATTCTTTAAAATTCTCTCAAAAATAAACACTACAGGCCCCTGAAATTCTTAAATTCTATGAAAATTGAGGCAACAAAGGTTCCCCAAGATTCTCTAAAATGTTTTCAAAAATAGAACACTAGAAGTCCCTAAGATTCTCAAATTCTTTTACAATTGAACACCAGAGGTCCCCGAGATTCTCTAAAATTCTCTCAAAAATAAACACTACAGGCTCCTGAAATTCATAATTCTATGAAAATTGAGACACCAAAGGTTTCCCAAGATTCTTTAAAATGTTTTCAAAAATAGAACACTAGAAACCCCTGAGATTCTTTAAAATTCTCTCAAAAACAAACACTACAAGCGCCCCTGAGATTCCTAAATTCTATAAAAATGGGGACACCAAAGGTCCCCAAAGATT